TTTGAAGGATTTAATGGATGTGATATCACTGGGTTTTCAGAGACGGAGCAGCGCACATCCTCTCACTATGACAGCGCGCGCGCTACTGACCGGCCCGTCCAGCTGACTCTTGGACCAACTGACTTAAGGTCCAGCTGACTCTTGAACCAACTGACTTAAGGTCCAGCTGACTCTTGGACCAACTGACTTAAGGTCCAGCTGACTCTTGGACCAACTGACTCTAGGTCCAGCTGACTTCTGGACCAACTGACTCTTGGACCAACTGGCTCTAGGTCCAGCTGACTCCTGGACCAACTGACTAGGTCCAGCTGACTCCTGGACCAACTGGCTCTAGGTCCAGCTGACACCTGGACCAACTGGCTCTAGGTCCAGCTGACTCCTGGACCAACTGGCTCTAGGTCCAGCTGACTCCTGGACCAACTGGCTCTAGGTCCAGCTGGCTCCTGGACCAACTTACTCCAGGTCCAGCTGACTCTAGGTCCAGCTGACTCAAGGTCCAGCTGACTCAAGGTCCAGCTGACTTCAGAACCAACTGGCTCTAGGTCCAGCTGACTCCAGGACCAACTGACTCTAGGTCCAGCTGACTCCAGGTCCAGCTGACTCCAGGTCCAGCTGCCTCCAGGACCAACTGACTCCAGGTTCAGAACCAACTGACTCCAGGTCCAGAACCAGTTGACTCCAGGTCTAGGACCAGCTGGCTCCAAGTCCAGGACCAGCTGACCTCAGGTCCAGAACCAGCTGACTCCAGGTCTAGGACCAGCTGGATCCAGGTCCAGGACTAGCTGACTCCAGGTCCATAACCAGCTGACTCCAGGACCAGCTGACTCTAGGTCCACTTGACTCCAGGTCCAAAACCAGCTGACTCCAGGCCCAGGACCAGCTGACTCCAGGTCCAAGACCAGCAGATACTGTGAATCCCTATTATTATTATAATGTTGGGGAAGCGCTAAACTCGTAAGGATTACACAGCGCCTGCGGGAATGGAAGGTATTCAGGCTAAATTTGGAACCGGAACACAGATCCAATTCCCTAGATCAAGAGCCCCTCACCAGTGTCAAAATGACCAGTACAGGAATTGTGGTTTGGTGGTAAATGATCTGCTGTTCTCCAGCTCAGACCAATATTACTGCCAGTGTTATTATTACTATCAAAACAGTGACTTCCTTGAGGTGTGTTCCAGACAGCTTCCAAACGGCATCCCAACTAAATTAATTCATATTATTATTATTATAATCAAAAAGAAGCGCTAAGCCACAAGGACTATACAGCAAATTAATTCATAAACTCTTTTTATATATTAGACAAAAGCATTAAACCCATAGGGTTCATATAACACCTGGGAATTATTATTATAATAATAAAAAAGAAGCGCTAAACCACAAGGGCTATACAGCATATTATTATTATAATCAAGGGGGAAGCGCTAAACCCGGAGGATTATATAGCGCTATACAGCATAACACCTGGGAAATGGAAGGCAATCACATCTGAAGTGAGGGTAGTTCCAAATCTTTTGGTCAAGGACTGTTCACTGACATGGCACTTTCCTTTAAGTGTGTGCTTTTTAACTTATTGTATTTATGGAGAAGCACTAAATCCATAAGGGTCATACAGTGCTCAGTTAGGAATGTGCAAAGGTCTGGAGCAAGTGAGGGGTAGGGGTGTGTGAGGGTAGGAGTTAGTGGAAGTGGGGGAAAATTAAGAATAAACTTCAATAATAATTGTAGCAAACAGATTAGTCTCTGTTAAAAAGTCAGAATAAATTAAAAGTGGGTCTTTTAGTGAGGAGGTCAGTCAGAGCGTCAGTGTGTGTTGGGACGGCACCGACACTGAATCCTGCAAGCAATAAGACCAGCCGCTGACAAAGAATACAGTAGCTGCATTAGGACAAATAAAAATACATCTTACAAGTTTATATGGTAATATTGGTGATAGAACTTTCTACATGAGCAACAGCAGTGAGAAATTCGAAGGTTTCAACCATATGATACCAATCACAGAGGCTCCGTAAAGCATAACATGGGATAATGTACTTTGTTTTTGATTGACTTCAAGATTAATGGTATATTAATTTAACAGCAGTTATCAATACTATCTAATGCACTAAACAATCCGCGAGGCATGTCAGGACTATCACATTTGTCACTCACTCTCGGGTCTTTGGCAGGTCAAGTGTTGTGACTCACTTTCTGGTCACTCAGCAGGTCTTGTGCCATGACTCACATACAGGACACTTGACAGGGTTTGTATCATAGCTCACTCACAGGTCCCTTAATAGGTGGTATCATCTCAGGGCATCACACTATTGCATTTAAAAAGCACATTTGAATCACATATAAAGTACGTACTTCCAAGTTGTACTAAATGTTACCTGACAATGGAGCAAAGTACATGATGCACAGGGGCCAGGAGCTGTGACTCAACCCCTGCAACCACAAATAGGTGAGCACATAAAGTCATTACACTTGTGCCTGAGGGACATAAAAGTGGTAAGTCCACCCAGTACTTACCACCGTAAGGGCAATTGTCATTATTGTCAGAGAAGCACTAAACCCATATGGGTCATTCAGCATGCCACTCCATGCAACACTTCACTGCAGTGTCTTTCCTATCTGTTTCTGCAATTGCTTTAAAAAATATTTAGTTACAGTAACTGCCCAAGAAATTATCCCATTGAACGTCCCAACAATTTTTTGTATCTAACCCATATCAGTAATTATTACAGAACTGTATTATCATCTCTATTCCTCTTTTACTTAAAAGAAAATAATCAGTGTTGAAAATATTATCAAAATACAAAGCCAGAAGGATTGTCTAAGATATTTTCCAGACATTTATTACTTGACTGTTTAAATTAGAAACATTCATGAATAAGCAAATTATAATTACTGTACAAAAGGTATTGCCAGCATGATTCGTTTTACACAGATAAGCCGCACATAGGAGAATGAAGCTTATGACAAATGTGCAGATTATTTGTGTGTTGTTCAGTCATGGTATTGTGACGTTATATTCTTTAAATTAGTTTTTGTACCCCTAGAATTTCCAATCTCTGATAAATTACTGCAAAATCGTTACCAGTCTCCTCTCTCGTACTGTATATACTTTACTCTTGCTTCCTTCACCTCTGTCACTTGCAGTATCCTTGCTAACTTTGCTACTGATGCCGTTACAGTCAGCTCTGCCATCAGAAAACAATCTTCCACCAATATGAAATATTCTTAATTTTATCAGTTGTACTAATGGCATTTAATGCTAAGTGACCACAATCTGATACAGTAGTAGTTTTTTAATCAATATCCTTATATAGTGTCTTCTAAAGTTCCCTGTCTAAATTGTGGAAGTTGTGAACTCTTCCAGCCACATTGTTGTGACTTCAGTCCCAGTTTTACTAGTAACAGGTTATCACTTTTGACTAATCTCTGTACATTTTTACTTGTATATATTCTGTAGTTGTTAGTACTTAAGATTCAGCAAAAGCTAATGTACATTAATTTCAATTATTTTCTAAAATTTTTCATGACTACCTCAGATTATTGCATATTAGCAAGAAACAGTGTTGAGGCAGCACTGGTGGCAGAGCTGATGGTAGCCTCCTTGACAACCAAAAATCACTGATTTTCTATAACTAGGCTTTCAAGCTCAAGAGAACTCAAAAGGCTGTGTAATTTACAATACCACTCTATACCAATGAGGTTATTTCCTTCCTTATGATGCATTATTTCCCTAGCTGTCTAGGGCAGTTACTAGAGAACACTGGACAGGTGTGTGGCTGGTATCTCTCATTCAAACCAAGCACAATACTGTTAATGAGTGCATATTTATAACACCTTTCAGCTGGTTACAACAAGCCATGCTACTAACTAATGCCACTAGCTACCACCCTAGGAATCCCTCATTCTTGCTAGAAGTGCCTACCATTGTTTACCAATAAGGTGCAGGCTTACAAATCATGACCCTTCAAGGAAGGCACCTTGATGTTGAAGGCCTTTTAATTCAAAGAATTAAAGCTACCATCAACTTCCTTGGATCAAATTTAAGTGAATTCCATTGCTCAGGCACTGAATGACCCCTAAGGGTTAGCAATTGCCACTGAGTAATAATGAAAATTATGAATTACAACTAACTTCAACACTTGCAATTGCTTTCATCTTACAAATCAATCATGCACACCTCCCTGCTGTCAAGAAACAATTACTAGTAATCTATCTCATCATCTATCTATCTAGGAACTAGGAAGGAATTGTGAAATATTTTACAACACTTCAAGTAACAGATTATAATATTTATTTACCTGCATCTTCATAGTTTTTAAATTAAAAGTATGACCTACAGTATGTACAAAGCTACATATATATAGTATGAGCATTATTTATTCATCCGAACAAATAAAAAAGTTTATAGAAGAGTAAACCGCTATGTTATTGGACTACATTTGTAACATGGCAGTCATTTTTGTGCCGAGTTTTCTTAATTACAGAGTAATGCTCTCTCAGGCTATCCTTTAAAAATAAAGTCAATTATCAAATAAAATCAACATACAAGCCACACATGAAAAAAAAGAACTTAAGTGAATTAACAAGAAATTATTTTCACAATTTTATTTAGAAAAAAGTATATAAGAAATGAAAAGATAATTTCAAATGCAAAGAAATGTTAAAAATAATGGAAATTTACTACAGTATGTACTACAAAAAGCTCATTAAGGTGCTTACTAAAAGAAAACGTTCAAGTAGTGAATATGTCAGTCTTATTGTCATGAGTATATTTCAATGACTTAGAAAAACATTTCCTCAACTAAAGCCCCGGCTGGAACACAGTGCATTGCTCATTACAGTAGTACCCCTGTATCTGCAGATTCAGCTATCCACGATTTACCATGGCCAGAAAGTAACCCTTAATTTTGCTGAATAATGACACCAAAGGGCAAAAGTAATGTTGGCAAAGCCTAAGAGAAGCTGTGAAGTGCTTGACGTCAATGAAAAAGAGCTAATTCTTGATGTTTTGTACGTAATTTATCATTTAAATTTTATCATGTAAGCAAGCAAAAAAAAAAACTTATGTATAGGGTTTGCTACTGTCCGCGGCTTCAGGTATCCACAACAGGTCTTGGAATGTACACCCCGTGGACACAGGGGGACTACTGTATTTCCAATGCCAATTACATACATACTGTTTATCCGTTAAAGCAAGCACAACATGTAATGAGCCCATGAAATTCTTTGGCAAAAGTTGATTGTGTTGTTGCTGCATCTTCCAACAAGGATTAACTGGAAACCAACAGAGGCTGCAATGGATATATACTCTCCCTGCATTGACTTATTATAGCACTGCACAAGAAACTCAAATTAAGACATGCTTTTTAATGATATTTTGTGGCATCTGCACACACGTGATACATATTGGAAAACCCTTATATAACAAACACAGATTCAAACTCAGAAGCAACATTTTATAAACAGTGAGGGTATGATCTTGACTGTCACTGAAGAGGTCCAGCCACTGGCTGTCTCCTAGTTACACAAAATACACTGATGAGGCATAATGCTAATCATGAAGATGAAGCCAATATGTTTAGATAAGCACATTTTACCATAAGGAATGCTTAATGCATGTCCATCCTTTAACTACCTGAGTTTTGAATGATCCCCTCTTAAGATAAAGACTGTCTTAAGTGCCAGTGCTATGCCATGTCCCAACCTTCACTACATCTCTATCCTAGATCTCACGGCATGCCTGAAAAGCCTCCAAATCACTGAAATACTTTGAATAGAGAGACGAACTTCTCTAAAACCTTAACTGCTGACCACTTTACAGCCTCATTCATTTTTAAATCCTCAGTCTACCTCAGCATGCAATTTCTTGTCAAACTCGACAGGTGGAGAGTTTCTTATAATGCCTATGTAAATAACATTTACAAGGAGCAATACTAGTTGAATACTTATTACTAACTACACTATATATCAAATGACATGGCAGATCATTTTTTTTAACTCGTGAGCCCTTCAAGGGAGGCTCCTTGATCCAAACCTATCTTCTCTTACTTTGGATCTCCCACTCCCCGAGTGCTGTATAACCCCTGCAGGTGCAGTGCTTTCCTAATTACAATAATAATAATTTGTGAGCTCAAACACCCATTCTACTGTACAAGTTCACCTGCTTTCTTAACTCTCCAAGAAGCTTTCCTTGTACCAAGGCTCAACACTAAGACAACCAAGACACTCAGTCATATATGGTATAAAAAATGCGTAACAATGATAACTGGTAAGTGCATTATAAACAGACACTTGGAAAAAACAGCTTTCATATGCAGTAAAATCATTTCTAATAAATTCTTAGTGCAATTCAGATACCCTCTAGCTAATAACAGCTCTGAGCACAAAAAGAGAAACACTTCAGATGACACACACACAAGAAATTTTAAATAACTGTAGTAAATTCAAAAGCAATATTTCTTGATTCTAAAGCAGGGATCCCCAACCTGTGGTCCTTCTAAGTAATAGATGTGGCCCTCACATGAAATTATGAGTTCACTTTTATGTAAGTTTCACACTGCACAGCGTCAACACGACCGTACGGCCCTCATCACACATTTGATCATCAAATGTGGCAACCTTGTGTAGGAAGGTTGAGGACCACTGCTCTAAGGCGATTCCAAACGTATGAAATAAATTTATCTAGCACGTACTAAGATGTTTCTCTCAAACAATAAACAATGAAGGTGCATGAAATGTGCCCTTAGCAAATGGTATTTGATGCTGTTGTATATGTTTACATTCTGATTTTTAACATTAATGATCATTAAATAAAGAAGCAATCATGGCAAACACAACTTACCTAGGAAAACATTAATATATGAACTATGGTAATTAAAATGAAAACATTTTTACAAAAGAGGAAACTATTGTATATAAAAGACTCCCATGGGCTTATACTCTTTTGGTAAATGCTATAAGAATTTTGTTGCTGTAAACAAATATGCCTGCTTTGAAAAATGTAATAACTTACAAACTGTATGTAAATCTGTTCATTTTTTTTTTTTCAACAAGTTGGTCGTCTCCCACTAACTAAAAAAAAAAAATGCATGCTGTTCAACAGTTTTAAATACTGTATATGGGCCATATACCGAATTATAACTACTGTACAAGTGTAAATTTAACAGTGTAAAAAAAAAAAATACCAAAGTCAGCATTAACTCTTATAAACATTTGTGTTATATGAACAGCAACACAGTAGTGACTGTCTTAACATATATCCACGACAATAAACTTAGTAATTATCTGTTCACAATTACCTGCTGGAGTTTGTGAGGGATGGGGTGTGCTCCAGCTCTCAACCTCACTTGTAACTTTTCACCAAATGACATGACTAAACATTATCGTAGTCTATTTTTGAACTTCTGTATGAAGCCTACTTCCGGTAAACCATTGCTCGGCTCATTCCACTTCTGTATCAATTTTATGTTAAGAAATGCTTCCTGACATCCCTATGGATTATCAAGGTGTGCAATTAATGTGATATTCCATCAAGCAGTCACTCTTCATGTATTTTATAACAACATTGAAGACTTAGACACATGCAACATCTGGGTATATGAAAAATGGTATAGAGATACTGACAAGATGTGGAAGAAGACATGTACAGTTCAGGACGTTTATTAGAGAAAATGTTTGGCTACGAGTCACTTCTTCATTCATTAGGGCTGAAGAAGCCACTCATGGTGAATGATTTCTTCTAATAAATGTCCTATACTGTATGCAAGTGTCTTTTTCCACATCTGCGTGGATGTTGTACATGTACCTAATTCTTTATCCTGTCAGTATTGTATACTGTAAAATTCATGTTTCAAGACAGTAAGTGATGTTACCAGTGTAACCATGGGCATATCTCTTTACAAAACATATTCTAATACATGCCAAATGCCAAAAAAAAATTTACAAAACAATGGACAACCTCCATCGACATTTCCTCTTAACATGTTAAATTAGTTAATTTAGCTCTTGGCTTGAATTTTGTAATTGTCAGCATCTTAACCGGCCATGTTGCCCTTTGCTCGACACTTGATCATTGTTGCACGCAACTGAAACTGCTTCCTAGAGAGTGAACGGACGTGCTTCAAGAAGGAATCCAAATCAATCACATCTCGCCGCAATGCCTCGCCCAAGTAGTAGATGGCGTCTTGTGTGGACTGGTCCTCAGCATATGCATTCAAGAGCCTGCAACCACAATAAATCTCATTAGAAATAGAAAGCAGTGTTTAACTACTGTAATTTAGGCACAAGCCAAGGTTACTGTTGGAAAAGATAATCAAGAATAAACAAATTTTATGAAGCAAAGATGGGCATTCTCCGTGGGGAAGTGCAGAAAAATTCTTCCTCAGTAAGGCGTGTGTCTTGTAAGAGGAGACTAAAATGCCACGATCAAAGAGCTTGTAGCTTCTTCTCCTGTATATGTGCAAAGAAGAAAAACCTTCATTTCTTCTTTTTTTTTGGGTCACCCTGCCTTGGTGGGAGATGGCTGATATGTTAAAAAAATAAGAGGGAGTTATAGCATGGTGAGAGAGTAATAAGAGTTCATATATGGGCATAAACGGCTTAGGATAAAAAATGGTTTGCACTTAGCCAAGAAGAAAGGTGCATGTAAGAAATTGCAATAAGAAGTTAAGGAGAACTTAAGTGGATTTGGACAGAGTCTGATGAAGGGATGATAACCTCGAGCTTTGGCAAGATAAAGTACTTGTCCTTAGAAATAACACAATGCATTTCTAAAAGAATAACTTCCTAAAAACACATGTGAAGGAATATTTACAAATGTTTTTAGTGCACAAATAATGATACACATACTGTTTGTAAAGTGGAGCAGTGGTGGTGACAGCCTCGTCAACATCTAGTGGGTCAGTGGCAGAAGAGAGTCGAGACAACACAGACTTTATCTCTGCTTCCCTCTCCCGCAACACTCTTACATTCTTGTCCAATTCAGCCTGAAAAAATAATAAATTTGAGAAGCTAAGAGACTGGGTTAGGTATCTAAGCAATGATCTTAGCAATGGCAGGTATAAGATCAAACCCTTCTTCCTCATGTAAGCTACTGCAGCAAATACCTACTGAGACTAGTTCAAATAGTTTCCTCTATAACTATTTATTTAAAAACTTAAATATAAAAATAACATTTTAATCGAAGATGTTTTCAAACTGAGAACCAAAGGTATATTTTGCATGAATTCACTGCCACTGATTAAGATTATAAGTTATGTCTTCTTCAACTGAATGGGTATTTGTGAACCAGTTGGAATTTTATAACAGGATGGATGTATGGGTATACTCGTCTCTCAGAATTAAAAACTACAGTAATTTGAGTTACCCAATGTTAACACAAAATAACTGATGTATTTACAGATGTACAGGCCTTGGCATAGGTCATCCCTACTACACTTATAATATATTTTAAAGGAAATTACACAAAGAAATTTAATGCTTTGAAAGCCTTACCTGCTCCTGTTCCAATTTGCTGATCAAGCCCTCAACTTTGGTCTTGCCTTCATTGAGGTCAGCTTGTTGCTGCCTTAAAACAGAAACTTCAGCTTGAGCGCCTCCATAGCTGTCACGGAGTTTGGCACGCACTCGATCACTCACGGCTGAGATGAGCGACGCACGTATGTGTTCCTCTGTTATGGTGCCAGTGCTTGCAGCTGTTGTATTTGTCTCAGTTGCTGTAGACTAAAAAGTAAACATAAGTTTTAAGGTCAACTCAACACATTGACACTCACAAGCTCCTTTTGTGCAATACTGACCCATCAAACTACAATATTTCACTGCACTCTCAAGAGTGGAGGCACTGCTCCTCCTAGCTTTATAAAACCTGGGTAAGCAGTGCCTTAAATTCCTTCACATATATATTTAAATGGCTCACTCCAAAAATATGTGAAATTCCACATCATTCATCATTTACCTTCAGTCATTTAATTACCATCTTTCCAGAAGCATATTGACATCATAGTTCACATGACCCTCAGAACTGCACTATCCTCACCCCTCCTTTAGAGTGTAAGCACTGTACTTCTCACCTCCAGGACTCAAGTTAGGCTAACTGGTTTTCCCTGAATCCCTTCACAAACGTTACCTTGCTCACACTCGTCAATCCACAAAAATCACTTGCCTCCACTCACACCAATCTACTGCACTCACACAAGCTTGTTAAATGTTCAAGCGCATGGCATTCAAAATCTCCTTTACCCCTTCCCTCCAGCTCTTCCTGATATTATTCCCCTAACCCCTCCCTCCCTCCCTCTTAATCAATACTTTATTCAATATTTTCTAAATAACCTCCTCCTCTCGAGCCAGGCAATCCTTTCTCTAATAAACGTTTAGCATTAACACTTGCAGGCATTCACTTTCACCTACCATCATGTACCAGTAATCACTGGCAGCAGTCAAGGAAATCTCTGAGCAAGTAAAGGTAACACAAAAGTACCTAGTTAACCTAAAAAATCCTGCAGTACCAAGTAGTTTCTTCCTAAGATATTATGAACCCACAAATTTAATGCGTGAAACTACACAACAGCAGCACAGCACCAAAAAATGACTTCCTGGAAATGCCCTAGATCAAGAAGCTCACATCATGTGAGAGGACACGTGCACCTCCTGGGATGGTTGGTGTCTACCAACATATCACCTGGTGTGTGTGTGTGTGCATGTGTTTTATGCTCACATGGGAAGACAGTAGTACCTCCATGGTTGGCTGCTGTTTACCAACCCACTATTTGATCAAGTGTAATATTACACGCTACAGCATTGTTCTTTTAACTTGATTCTTTACATTTCCTCCTAAGCACGAGTCATCCAATACAACTCTGTTTAGTTAAAATGGAAGACTTGCCTGAGTAGTGAGATTTGATGTGGTGGTGGTGGTGGGCGGATATGGTGAGTACTGCATGCCCCCAGTGTACGGTGGGTAGGTGATGGGGGGTCCTCCCGGCTGGGAAGCAGGGTAACCTGCTGAGCTTGTAGGAGGATAGACTGGATAAGGTGTACTTGTGGGTGGATAGCCGGGTTGTGTTAGGTAAGGTGGAAATCCTCCGGTACCACTAATCTGACTTGGCGGATATTTTGGGCTTGGGCCTCCACCAGGCAAAGGCATATAACCTGAAAAATTGAAGCCAGGTTTGTTTAAACTGGAAAAAAGGATAAAAAAAACAACTTTTGAACCCTTAAACAGACATGGCAAATATATGTACTTCTGTCTGAGGAATTGGCATGAGTTATATTACATCCATTCAAATCATGTGTGACTTTATATCTTACATTTTCAAATAAATAATTTATTCAGATGCCGCCTAGTCCCAGCTAGGGAAAAAAATCCTAAACTGAAAAGGAAATATATCAGAAATAATAAGTATTAAGAAAAAGACACTTATGTACAGTTCAGGACATTTATTAAAGGAAACATTTTGGCACATACGGCGTAACGTTTCCTTTAAAAAATGTCCTGAACTGTACGTAAGTGTTTTTTTCCACATCATGTATCACCATAACATTTTTCAAGCAGTATTAAGAAATGCAATGGAAAGTAGCAGCAAGTGCACCAGTACACTGAATGAACCATCCTCAGTGTAAGTGGAAGATTAAGGTGCACTGGTCTTCTTACTTGTTCATGAGACTGAAAGGAAAGGTCAACAATATGGCCAGTGCAGACTGTCAAACATTTCCTCATACTTTATTTCTACAGAGTGAAATACAGTTTATTTTACAGTTAGCGTGATAGACGTATATTACTACTTTACAGAAAGTCCCCGAAGATGCACAGCATTTCAGGCAGCCTTAAATCTAAATTATGATTGAAGTGTCCATTGCTTGTGACAGGGCAGTAATATTTTCCTCGATGGTGGCTTTCCATTAACATATTTCTCTACACAGATAACTGGTGTACAATTCTCTACACAAATAACTGGTACACAAGAACTATACTTCGTAATTTTCTGCAGTCAAAAACAGAAATGTGTGGCAGTGAAAGCAAAAAACAAAACATATACTCTCATTAAAAAAAACTGATAAGTAAATATGAAGCACAAACAGCCATTAACAATCACTTGGTACCAAAAGCAAAATGTAATAATGCTGATATTCACAGATCTATAATGATTTAAACTTGATAAGGTAAACAAATGTGAATGCAATCAATGAGAAACTCATTAGAATAACTGATTACAATAAAAATATATATATTAGTTGACAAATCAGACTCAAGTTGGGTCTGTAGTGTTTGTCAGATAAAGTCAAGTGGCATGCTTGAATCTTCTTAAACTGTATGGATGTGGCTATGGTTAATGATTCAATACTTAGTGCATACAGCAAATTAGGTGTGTGACCAAGTAGCAGTATCATTGGATATAAGCTAATTTTGATGGTAATGGTATCAGCCAAAACCTGAGTATCTGTATCAGTATCGGCAATACTTCTGGTATTGCTCTAGCCGTAGAGTAAATAAACCAAAAGCTTCATGTAGCAAGCATTAGCTAAATTCTTAATGAAAGGTAATGAGGCACTCAGGGAAGGGGGTAGTTCTAATTCACTGAATCCAGATCACTTCACCAGCATCAGGGTACTTGGAATGAAATAACAACTGCTGTATACAGTAATATGGAGATGTTGATCAACAGATTTCCTAGGCCAGTTTATCAAGTTAAAATCTTCTATTTTTTTTTTTTATTATCACACTGGCCGATTCCCACCAAGGCAGGGTGGCCCGAAAAAGAAAAACTTTCACCGTCATTCACTCCATCACTGTCTTGCCAGAAGGGTGCTTTACACTACAGTTTTTAAACTGCAACATTAACACCCCTCCTTCAGAGTGCAGGCACTGTACTTCCCATCTCCAGGACTCAAGTCCGGCGTGCCGGTTTCCCAGAACCCCTTCATAAATGTTACTTTGCTCACACTCCAACAGCACGTCAAGTATTAAAAACCATTCGTCTCCATTCACTCCTATCAAACACGCTCACGCACGCCTGCTGGAAGTCCAAGCCCCTCGCACACAAAACCTCCTTTACCCCCTCCCTCCAACCTTTCCTAGGCTGACCCCTACCCCGCCTTCCTTCCACTACAGACTGATACACTCTTGAAGTCATTCCGTTTCGCTCCATTCTCTCTACATGTCCGAACCACCTCAACAACCCTTCCTCAGCCCTCTGGACAACAGTTTTGGTAATCCCGCACCTCCTCCTAACTTCCAAACTACGAATTCTCTGCATTATATTCACACCACACATTGCCCTCAGACATGACATCTCCACTGCCTCCAGCCTTCTCCTCGCTGCAACATTCATCACCCATGCTTCACACCCATATAAGAGTGTTGGTGAAACTATACTCTCATACATTCCCCTCTTTGCCTCCAAGGACAAAGTTCTTTGTCTCCACAGACTCCTAAGTGCACCACTCACCCTTTTCCCCTCATCAATTCTATGATTCACCTCATCCTTCATAGACCCATCCGCTGACATGTCCACTCCCAAATATCTGAATACATTCACCTCCTCCATACTCTCTCCCTCCAATCTGATATCCAATCTTTCATCACCTAATATTTTTGTTATCCTCATAACCTTACTCTTTCCTGTATTCACTTTTAATTTTCTTCTTTTGCACACCCTACCAAATTCATCCACCAATCTCTGCAACTTCTCTTCAGAATCTCCCAAGAGCACAGTGTCATCAGCAAAGAGCAACTGTGACAACTCCCACTTTATGTGTGATTCTTTATCTTTTAACTCCATGCCTCTTGTCAAGACCCTCGCATTTACTTCTCTTACAACCCCATCTATAAATATATTAAACAACCACGGTGACATCACACATCCTTGTCTAAGGCCTACTTTTACTGGGAAATAATTTCCCTGACGAATTATGCAAGAGTGGATGTCAAGTGGCAAGTTATTCACAAATGTGTGAGCCACATACCCCAAGACAAGTAAGGAGGATGGAACACACCTGGAGGGTTGGTGGGGTATGGGGTGGGATACGGTGATCCTGCGGTGGGCAGTGCGCTCTTGGGCTTTGAGTACACTGGTGGCATGTCACTGAATGTTATGATCATAATCTGGATGAGACCTGGCAAATCTGATGAATTCTGAAAAAAGACACTTGGCATTTATACACAATGGAAACAACAGTAAATACTGTATTAGCATACATTAGAGCAATTACTAATGCACAAATCACAGCAATGGAGTAAAGAAAGATTACATATTATTATTAACACGTCGGCCATATCCCACCAAGGTAGGGTGGCCTGAAAAAGAAAAACTTTCATCATCGTTCACTCCACCACTGTCTTGCCATAGGCATGCCTACACTACAGTTATAAAAATGCAACATTAACACCCCTCCTTCAGAGTGCAGACACTGTACTTCCCATCTCCAGGATTCAGTCCAGCCTACCAGTTTCCCTGAATCTCTCTATAAATGTTACCTTGCTTACACTCCAACAGCACGTCAAGTCCTAAAAACCATTTGTCTTCATTCGCTCCTGTCAAACATGCTCACTCACGCTTGCTGGAAGTCCAAGCCCCTCGCACACAAAAACCTCCTTTACCCACTCCTTCCAACCTTTCCTAGGCCGACCCCTACCCTGCCTTCCCTCTACATGTCCAAACCATCTCAATAACCCTTTGAGGCAATTCTTGTCTGCTGATGCTTACATACTTGAAAACTCCAAGAAGAAAACACATTCACTATCACTTGGTTTTTAGCCATCTTTCCAGAAGTGCACACCAAACATGCTGATATTAAATGCCAGAAAATTAGAGTCAGTGAGGAAGTTCTGCCCTGCCCAGACTCTCGAAAAGAAGGAAGATGGTTTCTGAAAGGAAATAAAGTGAAAAATTTAGTATTGTATTTACAAATTATACAGGAATAACTTTACTGAGTATACCAGGAAAAGTGTATGGTAGGGCTATTATTGAAAGAATTACAGGGAAGACAGAATGTAGGATTGCAGATGAGC